AAAAAAATATTCTTTTTTATAAGGGCCCGTTTCCAGTTTTCATTTCCCCCTTTTCCCACCCCCCCCCCCAAATCCCCGAAAAAACACCCCCCCCCCCCCCCCCCCCCCAGGAAAAACACCACGTTGCACAAATTAAATATGTTATCGCCTTGAGCAGTTTCGTCAGATTTTGGTGCGCAGTTTTGTTACGAGTTTTCCCCCTTGCCCATCCTTTATAAACGAACCTCATCTCGCTGGTACAACGACGTGCAAGGGAGCTGTTACTTTGGAACCTGCGATACTTTGTTCACGTAAAACTGTCAGCGAAAGACGACAAGGGTGAGTAGCATTCTAAGTACAGAGATTACTTTTCTTTGACATGATTGTTCCTTTTCCTAACACTAACTTTATACAGTGCTAATAGAGATGTAACAATATTGTTGTACTGGTTACATCGCTCTGGCTCCGGATCGTGGGCTATGTCAAAGATGCCTCCCCCTCCAAAAAAAACAAAAAACAAAAAACAAAAAACAAACAAACCAAAAACCTCACATTGTAATATTTCTGAAATATTTAAGAATCAATCTGCATTATTTTGTTTCGAGCTCATTGGGCGTCCTTTTCATCCTGGCAACTCGGCCAGCTTTTTTACTTGACTTTCGTTTTTGTTTCCGATCCAATTGTGTTCTTCTGTCCCCGTAGAATTATGCGAATTTAGATGGCCAAATTATGCACAAAAAAAGCCAAATTATGCAAAAATTATGCAAGTTACCGTAACAACTTTCGCGACATGTTTTGCACTTTTTCAACACAAATTATCTTGACTTTTATGTTTTAAGTAGGCCTACAGAAAAATTTTTAACAGAACATATTAGTATCAGTAATTTGTAGTGTATTTGGTGGAAAGAAAACAATACACATCTGTACATCTGTAAAAAACAAAAAAAACAAAAAAAAACAACTAAAAAATATAATCTCTGTAACTTTCAGCTGTAGATCTAAATCTAGATATATCTAAATCTAGATCTGGGAAAAAATGTAAAAGAAAAAGAAAAAAAAAAGGACATCTGGACCTCTGATGCTGGCACATTACTAAGACCAGGAACACTAATTGTCAAACATGAAGCATCAGCAGACATGAGAACAACAACTTTTGATGGATTGAATAATTGAACATGCTCAAGGAACAAAATCCCAAACCATAACCAAGATCTTCTACCAAGGGAAATAACCAGCTTTTCACTTAAATAAGACTTATTACGGTGATTATTTCCCTTTAGTCACATGGCGAGGCGTTAATTAATACAATTAATTGTTTTGTTTACAAAAAAGGAAAAAAACGTGAAAAAACGCGGGGAATCCAAAATTATGCAAATGAGCCAAATTACGTGAAAAAAACGCGGCCGCACAATCGCATAATCGTACGGGGCCAGGTTATTTGTGGAGGGAGGCCGGGACCACTTCACCCCAAAATGCCCAGTAGCAGTAGTTGTAGAAGTACTGAGTAGTAGTACAGTGGTGTCCACGTAGTGAGAACAGCAACCCAGATCAAGATTTCAAGAACAACCTCTGCCTAACTTAGCCCTAATGTTGCAACTTGAGCTGGTAGTTGCGTATGGAATTTTCGTTTTCTATTTTTAGATAAATGAAATAACCCCTTTAACTGGAACATTTTTATTTGACAGTAGCTTTTGTTGCTGTATAAAACGTTCTTGATAACAATGTTGACGTTTCCCAAACTGTGTGAACACCAAGTCTGGCCTCTCCTGTATCCACAGGCCCAATTTCAGTGTGCACACATCCCTCCTCTCTTGTTTATTTGCTGGCAACTCATGCCGGGGCCAAAAGTAGACTACATGTTGTAAGCAATGCTGAGTATAGGAGCTCAGTTCACTCCTGGTCAGTGGGTGGTTGGTGGGTGCTCTGGTGCGGTGGGGTTTGCTCCTTTTTTCGGGGATCAAGGATTGGTGATGGGTCTTATTTAAATATTGAGAAATGCCTAAGCGTCTTACACAGCTTCTCCCAATCCAGCCAACCGTACCTGCTCGTGGTGGTCTCTGTTTTTACTAACATGGGTCTTGCGAATGGCGAGTTGTTGGCGCCAACAAACCAACCCCCCCCCCCACCCCCCGTTTCCTAGAGGGGTTTAAACAACAGGATGGGAGCAGGTGTGGCCCCA